ACGAGAGGAGGCTCACCTCAACAACAGGAGTAGGGTGATGATGAAGCCGCCGAGATAGGAATACCCTGAGTAGATAACCAACCGACAGAGGAGGGAGGAGAATAACCCAACGTGAATTGAGGCGGCTACCTGTCAAGTAGGGTGGGGAAAGATGACGAAGACCACGCTGGAGAACTATAGCAGATGAAGTTAAGATGCATTGTAGGAGGATAAGGGATCCTCCTAGTAACACAGGCCAGTCCACTGGATGTGTATCTGGACACTCAGAGAGCGGCAAGTCAGAGAGCGGCAAGCATCTACCATCGATGTGTTCACCGCTGATGACAGCACCAACCGCTGCTACAACACATGCGACAACTCCAGTAACCCTCCTTCTGGAGTAGGCCTCGGTCCGACGCAACACCCCTAGTGCATAGGCGAAGACCAATACTGTTGGCTGTAGCATAGAGGCTATTAATGCACTCGATAGCTCCAAACCTATACTAGGTGGCATACACTGTAGCATAGAGGAGGACCCCAGCCTACCAATGAGGAATGCTACTGTCGATGCACCTGTAGCAGCACCAAGATATATCAATAGTGGAAGGTCTGCCTTAAGGGGTAGCTTGAATGTACGGTCAATAGAGCATAACAACACTGCTGCTGCCAGACCTGACATGTGTATAGTTGGTATAGGCAATAGGAGTGTATTGCCTTGCCGATAGAGAGAAAACGTTAGAGGGTTCAACTCTCCTCTCATGAAGATAAGCCTCCCTCCAACCTGCCATCCCGACAATATAAACATTGTTATGAGTAGGAGACCATACGCCTTCGAATGTGTTGGGAGTTGTGGAGGAACGGCAGCGGCACGACATAGTGATCGGAGCTGCAACATGATACTACAAAGGACCACCAATGCCTGCTTACATACAGTATGGCTAGAGAACGAATTGCGGCATTTTACACGAGTGAATCCGAAATATTTCCAGCGGTAGGGAAGCACAAGGTGATGACCAGATGGGGAATAGACACAAGGGGAAATTCCAAATCCAAAACTGTCTCGAGTCGTTGGACCGTAGCATATACTAGGAATAGAGCTGGTGGATAATCGAGCGGGGAAAATGCTGCAACTCGGACCACCCCAAGATGGCACTGAGAGCATCTGCTGCAAGGCTGCGGATGAAATAGAGGTCCCTCGCTACCATACTGGCCTCATTCATTCGAGACGCTTCTTACACCATTTTAATGCATCATGTCTCCCGTCTCTAGAGCAGTCTAGTATCCGCAAGTACACATCTCAACACCGGATAGTAATGCTCCTTGCTCAACAACCGATCAAAATGGACAAGGTGGCGTAGTAAACCGGAAGAATAGCTGTGGCGGATCAATGACGGCAGCGTGAAGCCCTCTGACTGAATAAGGGCGTACATCTCCATCAGGCAGGATACGAACGGTGAGTGGATTCGAACTAGTTGAGGAAGGCAGAACACGGTAAGGGGACTCACTAAACGCTCTCAATCTCAACATCAGAGTAGTTCAGTATATTACGAGTCCCCGTATAAGCTTGCATCACTGTACAGGTTACCGCAGTGTATTCCGTAGCTCGGATGATATTCTATTACCGGAAACACGTACGGTTCTGTAGTCCTGTGGCCCCACCTCAGCTGATCGGACGCTGCTCAGCAAGTATTACCGACCTCTTCCTGGTATTACTCTTGCCGCCATCGTCAACCCTTCCTCCACTTAGAAAAGCCTCTACTTTAACGCTGGAGTCCTGGCATCCACCTCGGCTTCTTCTTCGTATGGTGACGATATAATCCTTCAACATGCTGTACAGTAATATGAGCACTACCGGTTGGGTTATTATTCAGCACTATTTCGACTATGATTAGGTCTAAAACACAACTACTGAATCGTGATAGTACTCCAGACCATGAGGAGAATCTTCTTATGACATCGGGCGCGCGCGGTTGCAAGGGCGCATCTTGTAGAATACAGAAGTCAAACGATAGTACTTTTCAGTTCCCTCTACTTTCTTCGACCATGACAGAGGAGATCGATCGCCATGTTTTGAGGAAGTAACCACTCTGCTGTTGTGGCCTCGGGTATGAGTATGATGAACAGGTACGAGATCGTACAGAAGTTGGGTCGAGGGGCTTACGGTATCGTATGGAAGGCTATTGAGAAACGTAGAAGCTTGTTGTAGATTGGATATGAGCTCTAAATCAGGTACACGAGAAGTAGTTGCCTTGAAGAAGTGCTTTGATGCCTTCCAAAACGCTACTGGTGACCATTCGGCCTTAGTATGTCAGAATAGACATAGCTTACTTGTAGATGCTCAGAGGACCTTCCGAGAGATCATGTTCCTACAGGAGTTGAATGGTCATGATAACATTATTCGGTAGTAGTAGTAGTAGAAGTGGTGATGAATACCTCAGTTTAGGCTCCTAAACGTGCTTAAGGCCGATAATGACCAGGATATATATATAGTATGTGATTATATGGAGAGTGACCTTCATGCAGTTATAAGAGCTAATATACTAGAGGATATACATAAACAGTAGTCCGACCAGGAATCGAACTCGGGTCGAAATTCGTATGATAGATACATCATATATCAACTACTGAGGGCTTTGAAATATATGCATACGGGCCAGATGCTCCACCGAGACATCAAGCCGTCGAATATTCTCCTCAACTCAGATTGCCAAGTGAAGGTGTGTGACTTTGGTAACCACATCACAGTCCTTCTACGCTTCCTATCAACCCGGCATCGTGGTCTATCTCAGGCCTGGCACGCTCAGTCGTACAGATGCAGGATGCTAGTTCTAATCCGGTGATAAGGCCTAAGCCGTTATCCTTCCGTCGTGTGCCGTCTTCCTCGTCCCACCATCTCTTGGGGTGTACCCACCCGCCCTTCCTATCAGGTCTTAACGGATTATGTGGCGACGAGATGGTACAGAGCTCCTGAGATATTGCTTGGTTCGACCAGCTACACAAAAGTGATGAACCAGCCGTTGTGGAGGTGATAGCATAACAAGCTATCTCGTGTAGGGTGTCGACATGTGGTCGGTGGGATGCATCCTCGGTGAGCTCATCTCGGGTAAGCCTATCTTCCCTGGTACCTCTACAATGAACCAGTTGGATCGAATACTGGAGGTCACTGGTAAGGAGGCGACAAGTGTAACCCCCTCGTACCAAAGACTTTTAGGGCGTCCAACGGCCAATGACATCGAGGGTATGCAATCACCCTTCGCTGCGACGATGCTTGAGTCACTACCAGCGGTATGTCTATCTCGTGTGTTGTAGTATATTATCATTGACAAGTTCAGACACGTCCGAGGCCTCTAACGGAGATGTTCCCATCAGCAAGTGTGGAGGCACTCGACTTACTCAGGCTTTGTCTGCAGGTCTGAATGTTAGCAATTCCGACCGAATCACTGATGGTGTGGTATTAGTTTAACCCGGGGAAGCGGATATCAGCTACTGAAGCATTGAAGCATCCATATGTGGTGCAGGTAACCTCATGGTGGTCGCGACTCGGGTTCAATCCCTGGTGAGTGCATTTCTGGAGTCAGTTCCACAATCCTGATGAAGAACCGTCATGTCCGGCTGTGATACGTATCCCTATCGACGACAATACTAGACTAACTGTGAGATGATGTCGATCGTTGGTAGCTCTTGGCACTGGTGTACATATCGTAAGGTTAGTGATTATAGAGATAGACTGTACAGTGAAGTGATGAAGCGTAAGAAGGAACAAAGGAGGCAATTGAAGAAACAAATGGAACAACAACAAACAACAACAACTAGCGCCCCGTCGGTCCAATCTCAACCCTCCAGCAATCGGCGGCCCCCAGTAGGTCATCTATACAGGGCATGGGCATATATCCTCATACCAGGGCTCAGCCACGAGTACCTCTGGTGTGGGGGGCCGGTATCATCCTACAGCCCATCCACCAAGTACAAGTACTGGGCCTGCCTATGGGCACCACCATCACGCTGGCCGTAGTACGGCTCCTGGCCCTTCTGGTATGTCTCGATCCTCGAACTTCACCGCTAATGGCGGGGGCATGGGCAGTTATGGTACTCAGCCTCAGAAGGTATCTCGACAAGGGTAGCGACATGGAGGGGGTCAATTGAGTACTCACTGCTGCCTCAGAAGTCGGCATCATCATCATCAACAGACTTCACCCGCTGCCGCCGCCGCCCAACACCAAGGGACCTCTTCGAAGCAGTATTTCACGTCTCCATCAGGGAGCCAGCAACCACAGAGTGGATACCACAAGCAGTGGGCCACTATGAGGGAAGGAGAATATTAGTATCCACTGTGGGTAGGTACTCGAGCCCATCGGTACCGTCTACAGCGGCTAGTCGTGGTAACGTTTATCATCATAATTATGCCTCACATCAACAGCAACAACAGCCTCGAGGAAAGAGTGCTGGTACCATGGGACAGAATCAACAGAATCAGTAAGGGAGGTCTGTATATTCTCTATGAGATTCGTTGTCTCAGCTATTTCATGCGCTCCAATGGATCGCAACACGCCCCTTCCCAAGCAGGGCCACCTCCGTAAGGGTCTGATAGTGACTACCCGACCACGCTATCCCGCCCTTCAGTCGCCATTACTATCCACCGGCCCCTGTGAATGCCTATAATTCCACCTTCAGCAGCGGTCACTCGTCTACTGCCGGGTACACCAATGGCCCCATCATCGTTGGTACAGCCTTGTATGGGTAGATACAATCCAACACGCAACTGACGAGCGGCGGGCGGCCTGCGGTGTCCTATCAGAGTAGATGATGATAATCTATTGTTGTCTATATACTACTCGTGAGGTATGGAGTGGAATAGCTGATGGGCCAGCATGATAGTCGATTGGCTTCCTTTTCATATGATACTCGTTTGCATGCTACGACATTGCTCGAATATTGGTATTGTGTTGTTGCCAAGTGGAGTGGATATAAGTTGCATTAGCGACTAATAACTCGGCATCTGGTGCCATCAGACTGATGATAGTCGATGGTGGTTACCATCATCATCGAACACCACGAGCGCGGTCTTTAGCATAGATGGGCAGCGTAACGTTTTTTTACGGTTTACGTTACGGCGTGCGTAACGTAAGCAGTTTACGGTTACGGAAAGGCCTTGCGACTTTATGATTGGTGCTGAACTGCTTTTCAGAATTGTGGCGGAAAGATTCGCTGTAATACACTCCTCCATAACTCAAATAGTTGTTGAACTCATTTCTCGTGGCTCGGATCAGACCGAACCGCTGAATGAGTAACATTTGGTTTCGCATTTACCACTCGTCTCCTTCGCAAATTCCGTCCGTTTGCTCCCAGGCTGGCCCGGAACTGCCAGGCCGACCTCATCTACGGATTCGCATTCACATGGAATAGATTTTGGCGACTTGGATGAACAATCCTCGTTTCGTCCTCTGCATCTCCGTAAGACGTAATTTTACGGTACGAGGCTTGAAGCGTAACGGTATAAGCGAGCCGTAACGGTCCGTAACGTGATTCTGCCCATCTATAGTGTTTAGTCAGTTCCGTGCTGATCGATGTAGTTGGTAGATCGTTATCAGGACATGCTTGAGATGTACTCAACTTATGCAGTCTCTGAAAGCACATATTGGAGGGATAGCGAGATTGGGTTCTTGTGGGGCCTCCCGAGGAATGCTATAGTAGGTAGGATGAGCTCTTTGGTGAGCTCATCTGTTGTCCCTGACGCCTCTCTATATACTGTACTATATGATGAATCAGCTGGACTAGCGCACAGATGAGATACCTCGAGTAGCCGTGCTTACTCGGCCCTCAAGACGTTCAACTCCCTAAGACTATCATAAAAGTGCTCAACCGTCACGGGTTGTGCGTCAGAAAACTGACCCCATATTGTAAGACTCTGGGATGTCGGTTCGATAACTCATAGATTCAAGATGTGCTGTAGTAGTACTTGTAGCAGCAGAAGCCCAAGTACAATGTTCATTCATTCCCCATCTTCACATGCAGTCGAAGCTAATGCATGCGTAGCCCTGCATCGTGCTCCAGTGATATTGGTCTAGTTCGGCGGGTCCCAGCTATGCGACCGTGACAGCAATAATCTTTCCAGCTTTTTCATTTTGGTTCTGTGTGTTAGGCTGATATTAGGCTTGTATATCGATATAACACAATAGGGATGGGCGGAAAGGAAGTTCACTTGAGACTGTAATACAGTTGCTGAGTATCAAAGGTACGCCCCCGAAGGATGATGGAATCGATACCGCCCTCTTTCCTCTCGATATACCTCATGATGTGATCGTATACGTACCACATAGTACCGCCTTTGGAAACCCCTAACAAGGAATACGATTCACGCAATTGAGCTCGAGCTATACATAATTGGCGGCTCACCCAAGATATGCAATGACAGAGGACGAAACACGAAACTACCAATGTGTTGCAGGAGAATAGTACTAGTAGGAGATATATTGGCTGCATTAGATATCTAACTAACGAGCGTCTGTATACTAAGCAGTGTTCAGTGAGCACGATGGATTAATAATAGATATGGGATGGCTGTGGTCCAAGAATCCCAGAAGGGACAATGGCATGTCTAAGGCCGCCTTCATTGGTCTCTATATAATGCTCAACTTGTTTGTATATACACCACATGGTGCTACCTACTGGTACGCCTAAGAACATATGCCAATTACTCTATGCTGTGATCGAGGGCTGTAAACAGAATAGAATAGTGGTACTTGTGTTACCTGTAATGTCGTGAAGTTGTTGATGTGGTACGAATTTCGCTTCCTTGATCTCACTCGCTTGAAGATAACTCTGTGGCAGCATTGGGAGATTAAGCACAGCTTTATTGGCCTCATTGTCCTCATCCATCCTCAATAT